CAGACCAGCTCTTGTTTTCGAAGCAGTTACAACGACAAGAAGATCGGGTGTCGAAGACAGAAAAAGGTTAGACACAGAAATAGTAGAGACGAACAAAAAAAATATAGGCCTGAGCATATACAATGCAACGACAGCCGCGCGGCGACAAACGCAAGGGGAGAACGAACTAGTGAGTGAAACTTTGAAATTAATAACTCACAATCACTGACTGAATAACTAACTGACGCATTGATACACGGACTTTGACAAATGTGACGATCCCTTGAAGGCTACGCAGATGGAAACAAGAGGAGCACCAGCCGAAGCAGCCAGAGAAGCTTCAGCAAGTAGCAAAGTCGTGGCCGAATAGTGATGTGGCAGCACTCCAGACAACTGATGCGTGCTAGAGGGGAAGTAAGATGACAAAAGAGCATGACGCACTGAATAATAGTCGAAGAGAAAGTTCTGTAGCAGACGACGAGGAAGGATAGACGCGAGTCGAAAATGGGAAACAGAAGTGGGTAAAAGAAGACTGTGGCCAATTCAGCCGGATTGCTGATGGGCTGCTTATCCTGGTACCCTAGTCACAGGAAAGAAACGCCGTCCAAGTAACCTCCCCCTTCGCTTCAGCGGCGGCATGTTTGATCGACTGCGGACAACGCCATTTGCATCGGCTGCCAAGTTCTGGTGAAAGGGAGTGGGAAACACACGCCTCTGAAGCGGATAGACAGTAGGTTCGCGTCGACTATGCACTAAACACAGATATTGCTAGAAATTGTCATCAGCGTCACCGTCAGCAACAGCGTTGGCTCCCGTTTAGGGTCTAGTTTGATGATTTAATGATCGCTTTTTGATGGGCTGTCTCCCTTAGCGGTAACACGAAAATGTTTGACTGAAACTGAATGACAGATGAAGAAGTTCGCTTCCATCTGAGTTTGGTATGAGCCAGTTCTCTGATAGTTCCTGACATACCCGACGGCGTCTGCATCCTCCTTACACGAATAAGGTCTTCCCGTAGATGTACGTATAACGTAATAACAATAGCATTTACTGGCCTAAGTAATCATTGTGCAAACACTGATGCGGAGCGTTATATGAATTAAATGGTGTGTGAGGCCTAGCTGAGGCGTTGTCTCGTATATATATAATGCTAAGAATACGATGTATGATGGGTATTTATTGGCATACCTCTGTCAACATTACGTACCTGGCGTAGGCAGAGTTACAGGTAAACAGAGCAGCGTAATAAAGCCTCCTGCATCTGAGAATGTACACACTCCAGGCCAACCTGGCATGACTCTATCGACCAAAGAGTAACAACGTATCATTCACCAATGCTGTGACAGTAATCCGGTGCGAATGATGATAACCTAACATGTGTTTTATCACGACAACCGAAAGCTGAATCCGACCCTTCGACTTCACAGACTATGCGCCAGACGGCAAGTCAACTTGAAGCTGTAACCACAGCAGCAAAAAAGTCCGTATCTCTTTTGATCATACGTACGATAACGTAAACGTGCTCGTCATACGAACATTTCAGATTTCTTTAGCTCTTACGCCTGCCAGCGTCACGATAGTCCTATGTTCAGCTTGGCGGCTTCCTGCTTAACGAGCAATCTTCAGCTTCCCTAAATCGCCCTTTGTTCGGCCAGTTCCATAATATGTGCCGCACACACGCACCTAGCCTGAAAAGCGCTTGATCCATCAGTACCATATACGCGGGACATGACGTTCGTACAAAAGCAGTGGTGACCGCAGAAACACATCAAGTTTGCATGAGTCCCATCTGCAGCACCTATGGACTTGAGTCCGACCTTTTCATTCTAGCTATTTTTCTAGTGTAAGTTTTAAAGTCATACAGCGGATTTAGATTCGGTGCGAATGACATCGCTTGCTTGATATCTGATAATGTTATTTTTCGGTAAAAATTTAAGGTGACCCTGCTTAGTGTTGATTTTAAAAAGGAAGACTGCCGAGTGGTCGAACAATTATCTATCAATAGCTCTGGCGAAGCCGCACAGCTTCCCCGTGAAGTGAGACGAAGTACTTCGCATTCAGCCAAGATTCTGTGATCTCAATCTTTTTCTGAGTTGGAGTTGAATCGAGCGTGAGACAGGAAACTGGTGTTTCCCTGCAACGTTATACTTTATTCAGGTTGTCGAGTGTCTGATCAAAAATCCGTAGGACGATTTCGATCTAAAGGCTGATAAGCTGAATTTAGACAGAAACAACACCATTAATGGATCTAGATATTTATTAAGATACCAGAATTTTACACATATGTACAAGGTACATACGAATCATTTGTGGACACATGAACGTCATTTATCTAAACCAAAGATATCTAGCACTGAACAAATAGTAGTTATTGCCGTTAACGCTATTAGTGGTGAATTTTCTTTACCCATGACTGACATGGCTAATCAGCACATGTTTAATAAAAATCAATTGTCATACGTTACAACTATCGACATTATATCCCAATAGAGACGGAAAATAGCATCGGAAAATTTTCACTCGAAATGCCTATAGCCAAGTGACATCCAAGTAACAAGGGAACATACTGTTCATTCTAACTGAAATCAGTTTGTGACTTTAAATTTTGGTTCACTTTCTTATTCTACCAAACTTTGAAGCTTTAACCATCAACGCTTTCAAGCCAAAACTGCGGTGCTCACAAACACAGGCCTAGTTGAGATAAGAAATGATGCTTTATGTAAAGCGGCCCTGTTACTCGGCCTTCTGCCTACATTTGTCCGACTGGAGTGATTTTTGTCTGTCATTCTGAGATTCTCCCTGACCTTGCCACACGTATATACGCACTGTTTAGCACGCCCTATGAGGTATCAGAGGGGAAGCAGCCTCAAGTGACGTGTTCCAACAAAGATAGGGGTTAGAATATACCTGAGGTGTAGCAGCTAACTAGATAACAATGCCTAATTCGTGACCCTTACAGACACGCACGACGCTAACATAAGAACGCATGGCGGGCACTTCCGCGTTACTTCGTAGCCTCAAGTGATTTTATCATCACAAGGATATCACCAAAGCGAATGCTGTCCTACAGGAAATGCGGAAGCGTCCCTCCAAGGTAAGAAGAACTAATCTAGCTACTATCAGAAAAGTAACAATCTGGCCTCATACCTACCGGATATTTCATGTTTCCTATTCTTCACCCTATCTAGGGTTCATCAACATTCTCTCTTAAAATGACTCATATGAATGTATCACAGCGCCACTAACTACGCACGACCTCACCGAAGTGAATACGTATGCACGTCGATTGTATAGGCCTTTTGAAATCGGAAAAGAGGCAAAAGGTTAAGATTAGTTAGCTGGGGGATATGGTGCCGAATAGTCACGCTGCTGCCAAGGTTGTCAACAAGCTTCCCTGTGTTTACCTCTTGTTGCCGACGTAGCTGGTAACCAGCAACTCGTTTGCTTATTCCAATTTCGCCATTTTGAAGGTTACCATCAATTTTTTGCATTTGCAGGTTGCCACCGTATACAGCGGTCGGGGCGACGACCTAACTAACCTACAGGCTGTACAAACGCTTGTTGAAAGACAGGTGTGCGGCAAGAACCTGACAGAAGGCAGATCCAAAATGCCTTTTTGAACTTTGTATAACGTGCTTGGGGAAAGCCTTTAAGGTTAACATAGAATACGCAGATTGAGGTTTATGCTATGCGCAATTTTCAGACGGTTTCGTGCTGCTCTTGCCAGAATGACAGCGTTGTCCTATTAATGTGCGATGCCGTCTAGACTAACACACACCCTTTGTCGTGGTGTCTGCGTATCATTAAGCAGGCAACGCCACTTGACAGCCAGGGCTGAGCATCTGTAGTCGCTCTAATTTCCTGTTCGTTGTGCTTCTTTCGTGTTTCTAAGCACAGCGTAATTGAGTCTCGACTGAGCTGGTGACTCGAGGCCTCATCAACTCTACATTTGCCATAGACGACCGTAAATTTTATGCGCTCTGTAGGTGTATCACCCAAGTATAATATTATCACGTTATAATATTGTGATAATATTTTGTGATAATCGCGCTTTTCAACACTGCCTGCAGACTGGCGGCGAAGATTGATAAATATAGACACATTGAACCCAACGTCCAATTGTGTTCTCGAAAAACACACAGACGACTTCAGTGGAATTTAGATTTGCGGCATGCGGCCAAAGTAAATTAATGTTCGTTGAGGACTGAGTCATAGCTGCAGGCACGGGACAGCGCATTCAGATGATAAAGAATGAGAAGCTTGATTTATAAATGTTTCGAGCTTTACGTACAAGCGGTACTTGAGTCGTTAGACATTCTTTTAAACGGCTGGCTCCAGGCTCAAGACGTAACGTACGATATGATTGAAGCGAGCCTAAAGGGATAATTTGTACCAATGGCACATTTCCAGCAGACGATCAACCTTTACCTAGGCATGTTGCAAGCACCTTAAACAAGCAAAATATCCTAAAATATTTCGATTCTAAACGTCGATATTCTTAACGAAGATAAATTGAACACAAAGCTTAGCAATAAAGTAACGAAGCGTTAAACTAAGCACTTGTAAATCTATTATATAATACCGATTCATCATATAATGGTATAGCAAATGTCACCAACACGATGTCAGGCGAAGCGTTCAGGAAGCTGTCGTGAGCGGAAGACAATGATATGGCCCGTACCATAAGCTCGGACCCCTCTGTGGGAACGCTTGGCCGTACACAAACTGAGGTCAAGCAGATTGAAAGCAATCTAAGAGATGGAGAGCTGGATTCTGTTTTACGAAATTTTAATGCCGAGCAGGAAGTGCTAACAGATGTGTTTCATCATATTGTCCACCGAGTAGGCGTATTGGTGACTTAAAAATGTGCTTCACAAATTCAAGAATCTACGTAGTATAGAATGAAATAAAAAGCATCATTCTCTCAAATTCAAAAACATGCTTGCCCTTGTCTTTAATGATAAGATTTGTTACTTAATAAAACAGATATTACTGAAAAAGCTTTCGTTAATTGCCCTTATCAACGGTCCACTGGGAAGAGGCTTGAATAATATTTTCCAAATAAAATTCTTCGCACTCATTTGTCTGTATAGTTTCAGTGATTTTATAATTTTTCACACGCTGCGTATGTTTCTCTATTCGTCGCTTTTCTGTCCAATTCGCCTTTGATCAGGTACTTCGGATCCGTGCCGACCTTTTAGGACCGATGTTTACGTCGGCTCAAATATAGATCTAGAATCACTTTTGTCTCACATTCAAGGGTCATCAGTTCAAATCTCAACGATATTAAAAACTTCACTTGGTTCTCATTCTGAAGTCAAGGAATGTCCGGACGCGAGTGATTAAATCTCTGCAGATTACAACTTGCTTTTCTTTTTTGACATGTCTACATATTAAATTAATTTTACTTGCAAAAATAGCAAAGCGTAGTATACGCGGCCGTGTAACTTTGTCGTCGCCGACCTCACTACATCCGCCACCACAGTAGTGTCAATATCGGTCAGTATGTCGCAAGTGTATCTGACTGCCCTCCACCACTGCTCGCGGCCATCATCAATCGCTCATTTGTTGTCTCGCTTCAATGGTCGTTTTTTACATAGTCGTCCATTCATCAATAATAAATGATCGTCGTGCTAACCGGATCTTATAGAAACTCCACCCTTCTACGCCCCTATATACATTCGCACACAACCCTCTCTTCCACCCAGATAACTGGCCGGCCATACACCCCATACACCGTACACTAACCTCAAAAGACGACGAGTCTTACTCCCGTCCAAGCACGAGGAGGAATAATGCATTCATCTATACTGCGTTCATTCGACGACCGTCGAGTCGTCACTTCGTTTCCCTTTACGAAAGGAAAACGAGAGACTTTCGAGAGCGAAGAACTTCTGAAACACATTTCGCAAGATTTGTGTGCCTCGATGATGCTTCCACGGTCCATGTGGTTCTCTTTCCATTTCGGTTCCATTTCGCTCGTCCATGCGCACTTATACAACTGTCCATTGGCAGTATCGGACCTGCACTGCACAGTTTTGACGAAACTACGCGATGACGATGATGGCGGTGGCGGCGGCGGCGGCGGCGGCGGCCACCCAAGGAGATATACCGGCGTCAGCAGGATCGGCATCAGTCACAGCAACAGCAGCAGCAACACAATGAGCTTATGTGAGCTTTGCACCAGCAAGAATCTGCTTCGAGTCACCTCCGGGGCAGATTGAACCTGTTCAAGTTCATACTTCATCTTTAACATAACACCAGTTATTTAATCGAAAAACAAAAGGAGACTTCGATAGCAACACGCTGGCTATGGGGCAACGCCAACAACACTATTCGTAATAGCTATTCACGCCATATTCCTTGGCCGCTTGTATTCATTTGTCATTCGGGTCAGCTAGGGCTATCAATCGATGTTTGTAGCTGGCTGGCAGGGAGCTCTGCCCTATTCAGAGCACTGGATAAATTTCGATTGGTTATTGTATTGGCCATCGTCAATTAACGCTTAGCTGAAAAAAATAGAGAAAACAGAGCGACACTCCACAGTAAATCGCGCTGGTGATGAAAGAAACAGGTTAAGCTAACGTGGATATGACGCGTTGTGCGGTTCATGCGTGAAATGATATCTTACCGTCGGGTTTATCGGGACTAGGTGGCGGTTGCTACTTCACTCGTTACCCTGTTTAGGTAACTAAATTATTTTGTCAATTCGATCATCCACGTATATGACTAAATTATGTGTATACATACTGTTGTAAAATAATAATGATAAAAAAAATCGACTAGATGTACGCGATCAACCACTGTTGCACTTTAGAGATATATATATCAATAGTCAAGCAATACACTTGAAAAACCATGGTGGACACCGAAGTGCTACGGATCCACCGGGACGGTGGAGGTTATTATTCTCAAACACGTCGTTCTTATCGCCGTTGGTGCGCAAAAATCGTTCGAGCTGTTATATACATAAGTGTGCGTGGTTTTTGGTACGCCACAGAGATCAATATGCTCGTTTCTCATTGTGCAACCTGCTCTTTTCAGCAAGAAGCATCCCCATGAGCTTTTCGTGGCTCTGATACGAGCCGACCTTGTGATTCACCTTTAAGAGACTGTTGATGCGCTGGTACCTTTGCGGTTCGAACATTCTATATGGGTACGATAGCGTCGACTGGTGTGTGAGGGGGAGCCCATTTGCTTGTCCTGTGTTGCATAGTCATTGGCCACCCTATCTCTCCTACCGTTGCTGCTCGAGCCCAACAATTTTTCGTGCAAGGATTAACCGTTGTATTGATGAAGGGTGAAGCATGACGAGAAGCAAATAAATGAATGTCGGTTGACATTGATAAATAGTTTGGCGGACAAATAAATAAAGAACGAATGTTGAGACAAATGGATGAATACTGATAAGGTACTGAATTCCGTCCGGATCAATGCTGCAAAGGTTTCAGGGGCCGCGTGTCACCGGGAAACAACTCGAGGCTGTAGAAACTGAGTTGAAATGTAGGCTAGCAATAGAAAAAATAATTTTCATTGTAAATAAATGTACCGTAGAAAACGTACAGAAAATTTTCGCATAGCCTTTAATACCGACCGTTCAGGACCGAACAGGACCGTTCGCAGTTGTACTGCAACTCTCCGTACCAATGCGCACCCCTTAATCCTGGTTTTGTTCAAAATAGAATCAATGTTCACAAGAAGGATTCGTTCACTCTCCTATGCAGTTCTGGAGGTTAAATTCAACCTATTTAAAATAAGTTGTATTAATCTGAGCATGCTTTCTTGTTGTTAATTGTTTGTTAACATTCAATGCGGCTGTATTTTCTGCCTGAATCGTAAAGTCAGGGCCACTCGACCTCTAGCAACCTCGGCGTTATATTAAGGCCATTATAGCTATATATATATATACACCAATAGCACAGTATCTCTGTAATGATGTATATATGACAAAGCCTTTCTTCAGTGCTCACACGATCGCCCACTCTATCGGTCATTGAGAATTCAGCATCCATACATGCTACGCACAAATAATGTACTTGTATATCTATCTACAAATATATACTCACCATGATTAGCCACCCATTTTTTACATAAGTATATAATATTGCATGTTCCACGCGTACTTCGACGCCGTCTTTCCTCAGATGTTTCAGTTGCCCCGGTAAAATAGTCAAACTATAGGGAAAATCTGCTGGAGTTATGCCGACGGTAGCTACGTTTCGCTAGAGCAGTTCGATCGACCGGCTCACTTCGCCGTAGCGATCATAAATGCTTCCACGGCTAACGTTCTCATATGACCACATAGTAGTCGCGTCTATCAGCTTGACCCTATCAGCAACAGCATTTTCTTTCTGCGCCGTCGAGTGAGCCTGTTGTTTAGTCTCCTCGTGCCTTTCACAATTTGCCACTTTCTTTGTTAAAGTGTTTGCGCTCAACTCGGTTCTCAGTCAGCTTCAGATCGATCAGCCCCTTTCTCGTATAGTATCCGTCGATCTGCTAGTTCAACCATCATCTGCAGCTTCGATTCCCTTCACTCGGAACACGGAGCAGCTTTAAGTAGACAATGACATCGCCGTCAGCAGAGGGAACAAGCTATTCGCCGCTTATGTCGACAATAATGACATAAAAGTACCGACGCTAGTTACTTCAATAATACCCTGAACTGGTGAAACCCTAACACATAGAGTAATGTTTGAACTATTATGTTTAAAAAAACTTATATGATGTTTAAAAAATCGTTGAGAGTTGATTGCTCACACGCAGATGCAAAAATTAAATTTGGGAAATCGAATGACTTCGGCCACTTTCCGATTTTGCACGGCTGAACGCATATCAACCACAATATGAATCATGCGCATATATACACACATACCTCCAGTGCCCTTGAAACTACCAGTAGAAGACAGCCCAGAACAAAGTGTCAATCTCAACAGGCCAACCCTAGCCGCGACCTAAACCCGATACGTGTAAAGGAATCGTGTCGGCCGCTTGAAAGATGCGTTTGTGTGAGGTTGTCACCGATTCCTGCCTGCCTGCCTGCCTTTGAGACTTGTAGGAAGCTTGTTGAAATTTTCTCATCATCAATACCAACTATTCTATTTGCTACCAAATAGCATCCAAAACATTCGGTGACGAGGGCTGCGGCGGCCGCGAATACATCAGCGGGATTCTCTGGAGCTGCTAGCACCCGTCAGTCATCACAAGCACTACAAGCGAGCCATCAGCCGACCCGTCAATCTACCAAGTTGGAGCGCTCGAAGTGAGAACGAGACACCGTGTCTCTGATGGAGAGCGAAAAAGTACCAGCGTGGCTTGTTCCTCAACGCTTAACCGTGTCAAATCACTTGCGGATAGCAGAACTTGTCCTTAGAGCGAAATAAGAGGGCTCGGCTATCCCATCGTTTGCTGAAGCTGTTGTCGTTGTCTGCTTGCTGTTGTTGTTGTTGTTGTTATTGCTGCTGATGGCGTCGTCTGCTTGTCATTATCCGCCTGTTCTGGTTGATCTCGGCTGGTCAGCGACGGCTTATACCTATTCCAGGGCAGCGCAAGTAGGCAGAGTAAATCTCTTTTGGAACCGTGCCTAGGACGGCGTATGAGTTTGCCTATATATATATGTCTGTTCATATGTGTGTGTGTGTGAGTATGCGTCAGTGACTTGAGATCCTTTTCGCGAAAGATGTACACACATCGTCTACTCACTGCATGTCTGACCAACCGTCTGTCTAACCGTTCATCAGCCGTCCGGCTGTCTGTCTGTCTGTGTATGGCTGTATACGTCGGTGCGACTGACACTCGATCTGCGACAATGATCCTGACAACAACAGGATCCTTGAGTTGTCGAGTAGTAAGTGAAGTGATCCCCGAGTGACAGTGAGTGGAGGAGTCGCTCACGTCAGTTTTTGGCTGAACAGGCGTGCACACACACACGCATCGACAGAGACATGATGGCCTTCCGTCCTAATCGACTCTCTACGAAATTCCCTTTGCTCCTTAATCTACAGCAATTTGGCGCGAATGCGGAGCAACAAAAACGACACCGATGATAAGTACTACAATTGTCTCTTATGCCGCAGTGGCACTATATCTGCAAAATGCATATCAATCAGCAGCGGGAGGGAGCGCATATGTTCCAACATGAGGGCGCGGCTAACTAATAAGAAGGGCGGTGACGGAAGTAAAGGGGGAGAGTGAGTGAGGGAGGAGGAGGGATATATAGAAATGCCAAATCTAGTATAGTACTTGCACAGGGTTTCTACTTGCGCGGCGGTCCCCTATGGAAAAGTTACGCAATTTTCTATAGTAAAAAACACTTGAAATGTTCAGAAAGTATCATAAACCTTTGTAGAGCCTTTGCGTAAGAATATGAACGCGCCAATATGGAGGCGACTTTGGATACTTCTAATGCTATTTCCATATCAAGTCGACTAAATAGTCTTTGGGCTGCCGTCGCACTCTGAACGGCGCACGGTACAATAGTTCGGAAAGTCGTTCTGCTATCTCCATTGACAGCCGGGGTTTAATTGTTAGATTACCAGTTAACGGACCTGAATAAGATTAAATCGTCTAATTGCCTGACGATAACGTCATGCAGAAATGTTTCCCAAAGAACTCCGATAAAGCAAGGACGGCAGTTGTTTGTTTGGCAAGTGTGGAGGCGCAGCGCACGAGAACCTGGGAGGAATGCATATTAGAAAGGTAACAGACGCCGATAGTATTCATCTACACGCACGCACGGGGGGTTCGCACGAAAGTGGTATTTTTCAATACACGAACAACGGTTCGCAATTTGTCAACCATCATATCAATATTGCGCTTAGCACAAAGCTGTCCTCTGTGATAGTAAAACATTGCGTACGATCGCTAGCATGATAAATACGATCAGACGAAAACAACAAATCAAGGGACTTTGAAAAAGGCACAAAGGAACGTCAGATCGCTTTGACATCGTACAAGTAGGAGCAGTTGGTCTTCTTTTCGCTCGACTAGGGCGAGTCACGCGTTCATTGCTAGCGCAGACACGGCACAGTCACTATAGTATTAACAGCCGGACGGCAGTGAGATTGAAGGAAAAATCCGGTAGACAGGTTTCCGTCACAGTGAGCTTATGGAGATTAGAGAAGGATTAAAGTCGAAAAGCGTAGAATTGTCTTGTCGCATACTGAGGTCTCTCGTTCGTTCATTCCACTTGCTCTCTTTGTGTCACAGAAACCAACGGTGATGACGCGAAGACTTTCACACATCGGCAGAAACGAGCAACGAGGAGAGATTGAGTTTGATGTCGATTGATGAGGAAAAAAAGGACAAAGAAAGGTGGAGGGAGTCTGAATCGATTTAGTTGCTAAAGCTCTACCTAGCCAAGCTGCCCAGAAATAGGAAAAAAAAGTCCTTGAAGCCCGCAGTGTGTTGCTGCGAATGCGCTGCAACTAGTCGCAGTGAATCGGTCGCTACGGCAGTTGACTACGTTCGGCTGCTGGCTGAGCGGCCGTGGGACTCTTAGTGACTGAATATCGACGTATGCGATCGGCGTCCGTTTCGCCGTGCATACCTCTATTGATAATTGATTAACGAGGACACAATAACTGCAATTTGGCCGGTAAACCGCACGTCATTCAAGGAGTAGTATGTAGGAGTATCATTGTGTGGTTTTTGTTGCCAATGCAAAAGCCAGTGAGAATCTGTGAGTTACTGCCAGCCAGTGACGGATCCAGAGTGACAACAGGTCAACTCTGCTGTGAGACAAGACGGCTCAAATAATGAGGGACAGATGCCGTTGAAACACGAAATGTTGTGGGCGGCAGTAACAGTGTGGGGCAGTTAAAGGTACCACAAAGACGCAAGATGGCAAAAAAGCACGTATGTATAATGAAACGGTACAAACGTTACCAAATGATTGTCAAAGCCGAAAAACATGCTGCTTCGTTTAGTGGAACGGAGAAAAGCGAGAGGTTTTTAGCTATCTTCTCGATAAACAACGTTTCCTTTTCTGCCTGATTTGTATACAAGGAAATAAACGGAAAATATCCGGCTGCCTAACGTGTGCGCCAACGTTGTCAAGCCTATAGGTAGGCAATGCTTTGGAAGGAGAATTAGTTTGGTGCTATTAGAAATTAGACTTAAAATCTGCTCTAACTGGTGACAGCGGTTTTGGTTGCGAACATACACAGCCAAACTGATCTCTTGATCATACAATGGGTCTCTCTCGCTGGACCTATCGAGCCAGAGGTCAAAGAAAATACCAGCTCGCGATATCGAATACTATATTATGTAATACGGGTTAGGGTCGATGAAGTAAAAAAAACATAGTCATTTTAAGATGGGATCGAATCATTAATATTTTGAATTTGTTTGTGGTGGGCCCTTAGGATGACAGCTCGAAAATGGGCGTTGGATATGGTGACATGATCGGTGTTTCGATCAGGTGAGCGTTAAAGAAACGCCAATAATAAAGCATACTATTGAAATGTAAACTTTAGGACTAACCATTCGTAGTATTCTATTATTAAGTTACTTATATTCGTTATTATCGTTAGTAGCATAAAAACGAATTATAAAAAAAATTCATTTTTATGCTACTAACTGTATCAGTGATCCCTTTAAGTAAACATTACAAAAAAAAAATATTTTAACGTTAAGTAATATCAGCTTGTACTGATTAAGATTTAGTAGCGGTAACAAGAATACCTAACTGAGTAAGGCTTATGGACAAAACGATCATACATTAGACGTCGGCCTTACATAATGTGTTCTGAAATGAACCTATTCCGTACGTGCTTTAAGCTTTTGATCTGCATGTTATCTGAGCATGCCTTGCAGGCGCTAATGGTCGAACTTATTTTTTGATCGATTATGCGCGTTTCGAACTTCTATTATAATAGCCATGTAACAAATCTAGACTGAATTATATTACAAGTTAAGGTGTCAAGTAGAAAACGAGCATTATCTAGAATGAGTCCCTGAAGGCTTGGGCAACTTGTCTATTCAACCTCACGAAAGCCACAGGGTTGAAAAAAGGATTCGTCCTCAATCCTATTGTCAGTCCTTAGTTGACAGACGATGATTTTTGATCGACGTTTGTCTGCCGACCGCCCGCCCGCCTGCTCGTTCGCTCGCTTACTCTGTCTGCCAGTCATTCAGTCAGTCACACTGCGAGAGTCCATACGGCTGTCCCTTCGTCTACCACCGACAAAAATGTGATCATGCGCAGTATCCATCCATTGTTGCAATGTACCTACATATTCTGATAGTACCTCTGCTATCCTAGTCTTTCTCTGAGTCTAGGCTAAGCTCAGACGAGGCGGCCATCAGCAGCCGTCGCAGAGCGCCATCGCTGGAGACATGAACCTTCTTTATTCTACCAGCAGCAGTCCCCAATCCAATCGTCTTTTTCGATCTCACCTTAAAACGCCTTCAAATCATCGGCAAAAGCAGCCCTACTTTATTCGACGTCAATTGCTAGATGACACGTGTGTAAAGATCGAGTTCGTCAATATAGATAGAAGGAGCGATTTGAGGCGAACACGATCACCACACCCTCGACCCTCAAATCCCCCTGCCATCAACTGGCGGTCAACAGAAAACCTGTTGATTGTTGCGTACATTGTACACGCAAAGTTACGACGTCCCTCTGGTGGGCGGGTAATGTGCTCATGCATTGGTACCATCACGGAGGTAGCGTAAAGACAGGAAAACCTGATGTATAAACAACTAACTTTACGACATGTAAACAGGATATTTCAGGAGATATCTGCGCTACACAAGGCCTGAGGCATGCGATGATGAGGGCTCGAAGCCCCGATAGGGGCCAAATGGTTGTCGTTTGAGTAGATATATACACACCGTCATAATTAGAACGTATATACGTGTAGAAACATCACTAACCGAGACTGTGACTGCCCGACAGCGACGTCACGATATAGACAATGAGTGAGTAAACGCTTAAGCTTTATTAGTTTGTTTTTCTGAGACCTTGCTGACACAAATACAAATAGGGCCGAGTCCGTTCTCACAACGTGTAGGAATGAATGGTGTATTTTGCGGTCTGATTGTCGCATTCAAGGAATCGCATTCATTTGTGCAAAAGAGAGCATTACGCACGGCAATGTTACTATTA